TAGAAAAGCATTGGGAAGCTATTTCGCATGCATGGCATAGAGATGCATTTAATCACTGTACTCTTTGAGAAACATTCTGTTTATTCATGTAGAACGTGGGGATGCTGAACGCTACAGGAAGCAACTACAATGGCTGTCTGAGTGACACTAGAGGTGTAGAGACACTAGTCACTAGTTGTCTAACAAGCCAGAAATATAAACACTGCCTTTTCAGTGAAGGGGCAGTGTGTGTAGTGCTAATGCTGCAGAAACATGCTATAGACAATAGAACAACTACATTAAGCTGCAGTGGCTCTGGTGACTATAGTATCCCTTTAAAAAACAGGTAAAAAAAATGTATTGGACTAACAGAATTTTTTAATGACAAGCTTTTGGGAGAACCTCCCTTTCTCAAGTCTAAAGCATTTTTGAGCAAGACGACACATAGAATTCAAAGTTGAGTTGTGATATAGGGGTTAAAGCGACATGAGTGTAGATAAGATCCAGGTTTAATAGAAAATACACTATTCTCGTAGAGGGTCGTAAATATCTTGTGTAAAGATCACAGAGTGAGGGGGTAGAGATAGAGAAAAAAACAAGCAATCAGTGCAAAATATGGTGCTAGAAGGGAAGAGTAAAAAAAACGAATTACTTTGGGACAAACTGAACCTCGTCACGGGTTCTTGGAGGGGCCTGCTGGCCAGAGAGATCGACCTTTAGCCCTGATTCCCTGGAACTGTTTTGGGCATAGGACCATGTGCACAGTCGATCACAAATAAGACTTCCAAGAAATTCCTGAACCCCTGAACTGATCTGGGTGATTTTGGATATATGGGTCACCCAGATCAGGGCTATCAGGGTATTTAACTTTTGTGTGTTTTAAGGAATTTTTTTTAAAAAAATTTCAATGGATGTTTTTTCTGTGCTTGGAGATAATTTGATTAAATTAGTACAGTTCCTGATACAATTATCTAGCAGGCACAGAGGAGGGATAAACTGGTTTTGTAAAGGAGTGTCCTAGACCTGAGAGCCAATGTGATTGTGTATTTATTTTTACTGTGGTTTACTCTCAGGTCCAGGGGGGAGTGCCCCTTGCATGGGGACTGTCATAAAAGGCCACTTGTGGCTACCATTAAACTGAGATTCATTTTTTCCTTCATGAATTCTAGGCTCATGATTGGGGGATTGGAGAGCTATATTCACAATCTGGGGATTGCTATAAGCACTATACTCCCTTGGATCACAACACTTGCTCTTATAAGAGCAGCCTGCTTCGCTCTCTGGACTAGGAGAGGTCTACCCACTGGAAGCTGGATCCTGGTCTTGGGTCCAGGGTGGGTGGAGGACAGCGAGACCCCAACCAAGCTGCAGTGGTGTGTGGGGTTTACGGTGGTTATGGTGTTCCAGTGCAGTGCTTATGGTGCTCGCAAGTACTAGGAAGCAGCGATTGACAGAGGTACCCGATTGGGGTGCCAGGCGGTCCATCACATACTTATATTAAGAAAGCATGCATTCCATCCAAGAGTTACAGGATATGCATGAAGGCCTATATTCAGCATGCAAAGACACACACACACTCACAAACATGTACATATACACAAGTAGTGTATCCCTTTAATGCTTTTAATGATGTTTATTCCATGCAGTTTTCATTAGCTAGGATAACCTTTTCACTTTTGGTTTATGTACTAAACATATAAGGCTCGTTTCCATGCTTGTCACAATCATTTAGCTATAGCTCAGTAAAATCTAAAAGGAGTGTCGCTACCATTAAGATTAACTTTGCATACTACAAAAATTCACATTTAATAATTAGTAATTAGTGGCTGCCAAATGTTGTAATGTATACCATATAGCTTAATGGGTGACCCTTAATACTAAGTTGTACTATTAGATATGTTTACTAAACTGAGAATTCAAAGTGATTTTCAAATTTAACCCCAACGTAGCCTTACTGAAAGCAAAGCTGACTGTGACAGTTTTCACTTGACTATTTTGACCTTAAAGGAACACACTAGTGACAGCAATACAAACATATATTCCTGACACTATTGCTGTAATATCACTATTTACCTGTCCCCCAGTCCCCAACCAAGGCCCTCCTGTAATCTAGGTAAAAGGTGAGTTTACTCACTTCTAATCCAGTGTCGCACAGGACCGCCGGTGCTGGCTCTGCCCCTAATTTGCCTCCTATGCTGAGATTGTCAAAACTGACAATCTCAGCCAATCCAATGCCTTACTATAGGAAAGCAATGGGAGGCTATTGTGCATATACTGAAAAACACTGCACTAGACTACTAGCATCTCCTCATAGAGCTTTCACTGTTAGCACTGTTCATAGCTTTTCTGTTAGTCTTGTCCACAACTGATAGGTCCTCTATATAACTCTGCAGGCAGAGGCAATGTTACAAATACTTAGAAAGTTTACTCAGCCTCAGTATTTAAAGGGCTATGTGCATTGCTTACTTATCAATCAGTCAGGTATCGTATAATACAGGGGGAGGTGGGGGGGTTCCTTGGTACCAGCATGGATTTAACAAGTGGTCAATGCTTTTGGCTGCTTTTTAATAACAATTGGAAAAACAATCCCAGCAAAAAAAACCAATATGTTTAAAGGTTGAACTTGATTTTTTTTTTCCAGCTAGTTACCAACTTCAACTCTGTACATATATTTAATTTTCACTTAATATTTGCTTAAAAATTAAGCACCCAGACCACATCATCTCATTGAAGTGGCCTGGGTGCAGTGTCCTTGTCCCCTTAACCCTGCAGTTGTAAAAATTACAGTTATTGAGAAACAGCAATAATTACCTTGCAGACAGCCACTAGAGCCGCTTTCGGGCTCTTAACAGACTTTTGGTTCACTAAATGACGCTGGACGTCCTCTCGCTCTGCAGCATCAGCTAAAACCCCATATGAAGATACTGATTCGATGCTTTCCTATAGGGAAGTCTTAATGTGATCATGGCAATCACAGTGCATGCACATTAGGTTCCCCCCTTAGGCTGATGTCAGCAGACGAGCATTTTGACCCAGTGCCGAGGAACATCAGACTTATTTGCTTGCCCCCATGGATGTAGTGGATCGGCAGTATTAAATCCACGAATTCCGCTGGTTCAGAAAGTAATCCACAGTCAAGCGCTGAAAAGCAAGGCAATATCCCAAATCTCCCAGTAACCGGACGAAACACAGTTCTGAGAGTCAACTGCAGGCTTTATTCACAGGCTCCACAATTTATACAATTCCCCATGCAAGGGGTTTCCTGAGTCACATCCCAGGGGCATTCCCAGAGTGGACTACGTGGGGAACTTAATGTACAGAGCCTTTCCCCCATCAGGCACTGCTAAACGAGAGGGATCCTCCCACTGAAATGTACCGTTAAGTGGATTATCCCTCCGTGCAGCAGAACCAGCAATTTACCTTAAAATGTACAGTTCTTCGACTATTTGGTCTATTTGCACGAATGGACGTTCGGTAGATAGCTGGGGTCTGAGCGCATCATTCGTGAGATTACCGCTCATATCCCAGCTAAAACAACCGAATGCCGCACGAAAAACACATTTATTAAAACACACATTCAAAAGACCGATTGAAGTATAGGGAATATAATACCGAACGGCCTGGAACTCCCGCACGGCCTGGAAGTTCAGCGGTGTTCGCGCCGTCGAGTAGCCGTTTTTAGACGACCAAACACCGCTGAGGGAACAAAGGATCCAAGATGGCCGACCGCCGCATGGTCGGTAGTCGAACGGCGGCCACCTAGGAGAGCCTCTAATTACCGATTGCAACATTGTTGCAATCGGTTAACAAGCGCCACACGTCTCTAAGTGTGTGGGCTATTACATGCGGGCCGTTCGTGAAACAAAATGGAATACAGCTATCTGCGTTCGGCAGATAGCCAATACAGGAAATACAAGGTATTACAGCCAGCATACATTATACTTAGTCACACACATACCCCACAACCATACAGGCAACCCTTAAAGGTACAGTCTCTTTATATTGTCCAAGTGGCTAGGTTTGCCACAATGGAAAATCTTTTGTTGTAGTATTCAAATGCAGGGAAGCAGTGGATTAGATTTTTGTGTTATTAGAGAAACACTATAGGCATCAAAACAACTTTAGCTCTTTGAAGCAGTTTTGGTGTATAGATCTTGCCCCTGTGATCTTACTGCTCAATTTTCTGTCATTTAGGAGTTTATCACTTTGTTTATACAGCCCTAGTCATACCACCCTGCATGTGACTTGCACAGCCTTCCTACACACTTCCTGTAAAGTAAAATCTAATGTTTACATTTTCTTTATTGCACAGTCTGTTTCATCTAGAACTTTGTATCACCTGCTCTGTTAATAGCTTGACATACCTATTGGCAACCTTCTCTATGTGATTAAAGTTTAATTTACACAGGGCCGTCTATAATATGATTAGGACCCTGGGCAATGCATTTTCTTGGGCCCCGTGGGCCCTGTCCCTGCCACTGCCTCACCCCCCAATTACGTCCAACCCGCAATCACACTGACAGACGTACTGGCACATACACACACAGACAGACATTAAAACATTCACAGATACATACTGACACACAAAGTCACTACACACAAATATATACTGGCAGACATACTGACACACACACAGACATACATACATACACAGACACATACATTAACAGATATACTGACACACACACAAACACATACACTGACAGATATACTAAAACACACAGACACATACACTGACAGACACATTGACACACACTGACACACACACACAGGCATACTGACATATACACACACAGACGTAATGACATATACAGACAGACGTAATGGCTGATACAGACAGACATTAAACATTCACAGATATATACTGACACACACATACACTGACATACAAATATATCCTGGCAGACATACTGACACACACACAGACATACATACATACACACACAGACACATACACTGACAGACATACTGACTGACACACATACACACACAGACATACTGACACACAAAGACATGCTGACACACAAAGACATGCTGACACACACACACAGACAGACTGGCACATACACACAGACAGACATTAAAACATTCACAGATACATACTGACACACACATACACTGACACACAAATATATCCTGGCAGACATACTGACACACACGTACACACACACACAGAGACATACCTACATACACACACACAGACATACTGGCATACACACAGACATACTGACACACACACACACACAGACATACTGGCATACAACACAGACATACTGACACACACACAGACATACTGGCATACACACACAGACATACTGGCACAACAGACATACTGGTACACAGACGTACTGACACACAACAGACACACGCAACAGACACAACAGACAACAACACACACAACAGGCACACACAGACATAATCAGACACACACAGACACAGACACACTCGACACACGACATTGCTGGCGTAGCACACACAGACATTGTGTCACACCTACACACACTGACACACCAGTTGTTTGGGTGGGTGGTGTGGGGTGGTTTGGGGTGGTGGGTTTGGGGTGTGGGTGGGACAATGAACTGGCTAACACGGGCTTGTACTGTACACACAGACATGCACAGGACACACCGATACAGACACAGACCGTTGTTGTGGAGTACTGACATACCACACAGACATACCGACACACACACACGAGACATCCTGCATACAGCACACACACACTACCGACACACACACACACACACACTGACACACACACACAGACATACTGACATACACACAGACATACACACACAGACCTACTGACATACATTTAGCCACCCTCCAGGTTCTTACCTTTTCCTGGAGGGTGGTTTCCCTGGTCCAGTGGCAGGCTGAGGCAGATGGGAGTTCTCCTCTGGAACTCCCCTCCTCCCTGCCTTCCTCCTCCCGCGCGGCTATCTCCGGTGGGAGGAAGTGACGTCACTTCCTCCCAGCCAGCTGCAAAACCAGAAGAGGGGCCCGGTCGCGCTGTTTAAGCGCCACAGCGCCCGACCGGGCCCCTGCTGACACATGCTCCCCGAGTGGCCCTTAGTGCATGGGCCACCCGGGGAACCTCCTCAGTGTGCGGGAGCCACACCGCAGGGTCTGCGCAAATCGTGGGGCCCACAGAGCAGCTGCTCTGGGCCCCCAGGAGCAACTGGGCCCGGGGCAGCTGCCCCGTTTGCCCCGCGTTAAAGACGGCCCTGAATTTACAGAGCAGGATATAAAAACCTCTAAAGCAATTTAAAGTTGTTTTGTGACTGCATTGTCTCTATGAGAAGGTGTATGGGATACCTGCCTAAAATATGCTGTTTACAGTTGCTTGTATGATACTCAGCCTGGGAAAGGAAGAAAGAAAAGCAGGCCACATGGATTACTACAGGAGCCGCACTGCTGGCTTATATCATCTTGTGAATCTTGTAAAGAGTGTGTCTTTAGGACCATTACTGTGAATAATAAAGTTTGTTTCTGGTAATGAAACCGTATGTATATACTAGCTATTTGCAAAATCATTGTAGCAGCTAAAGCATATGTATACAAATATCACCAAGAACAAGTATATCAACTTGGAAATATAAAAAATATACCAGGAATAAAACCATAATTAATAAATCAATTAAGGCTAGCTGAATGTTGGACCATCGAAGGATGCTCCTAGTGCTTTCCAAGGACCATCAGCACCGCACCAAACACCATAAGCACTGCAGACCCCACGAACCGCCGCAGCTTGGTTGGGGTCTTGCCGTCTCCTACCCACCCTGGACCTACGACAAGGCTCCAGGCTCCAGTGGGTGAACCTCTCTTCCACCAGAGAGTGAAGCAGGAACAAGCTCTTAGAAGAGCTAGTGATTATTCAAGGGAGTATGAAGAGCATAGCAATCCCTTGTAGCATATTCCCCCAATAAGAGACAGGACTCTAGATTGAGGGTGAAGTAGAACAGAAGGTTTAATGGTACAGCTGCTCTTTTATACAGTTTTTCCCCACAAGGTTACCGCCCAGGTGGACCTTGTGGGGCACAGGACATGAAATTCACAATCCAATAAAAACAGAGTTTTACATTCAGTCACCCCCATACAGTGTACACAATCCCTCCCCTCTGCTTGTGATACAATTAACAAAGACAATGGACTAACTCAATTAACTCTAAGCAGAAAAAACATAAATTTTTACAAACCCCCAAAAGTACCCCAAAATACAACATATCCCCACATCCACTGATAGCCCAGATCTGGGTGAAAAACATATCCACAAATCACCCAGATTGGTTCAGGGGTTCAGGATATTCATGGAAGTCTTATTTTTGCCCCACCGTGCACATGGACCCATGCCCAAAATAGTTCCATACACTCGACGGCAAAACACTGCTGGACAATTTAAGATGGCCACCGCCACATGTTTGAATCTGTTCCAGTTAAAAGTCCAAGGGGCAAAAACAGTACTTTTGAACATGGGTTATCACAGGGCCCAGGTTAGGAGGCTGGCAAGCAGGCCCCTCCACAAACTCATGGCAAACTCCCTTAAAAAAGGGGAGTTTGTCACAATAAACATCAGGATTAAAGCATTCACAGTACACTTAATAAAAAATATTACTTAAAACAAAACTGGTAAATTGCAAATTGGCGAATTATAACACAACCAGCATACAATGAGGAATAGTTGCTAATTATCAGAGAAGTTCTAGTTGTAGAACTGTAGTTTGGTAACAAATCTTCTAGTTACATTTATCAATGGCTAGAAAATATTTCTTCCAATTAGATATCAACTGCACCTTATATAAGATAGAGGCAAGAGTGCATAGTGTAATATAGAAATTCATTTTATTTACTTGTACTAAAAGCAAAAATCAGATCCATTGCTCAATAATCTGTGGTGCCCAAATACTCAGTCAAGCGCATAGCATTTACCTCTGAGAGTTGTGTTTAGAATCCGCCAACCCTCCCATCAGGTCAACTAATAAGATGCCAAGTCCACTACAGTATTCCCCAACCATATGCCCACATCCTCATAGCAAACATAGCTTATTGACCAAGTTATATGCAAGCAGGTATTAGTTTCTGATAAACACATAGCTAAGCATATTTTCTTCAATTTATTTGTATTCCATATGTAAATACAGTAATACTTAGGATGACCGTCGTCTAATACCTGTCTATGACAGATGATCTCTTTGTGCTCCTAGCTAGGATGTCCTATAATCTCACAGTTTAAATTTTAAAAACAACAGTTTACATTTTTAGAAAAAACATTAATTCAAATTATCGGTGCCATTATAATCAGCAGTTTTAGTCTCAAGCATTCTTTGCTCATTTAGACTTAATTACAAAACCAGCTCTTCATAAAAAAAAGAAAACATTACAGACTTTGTGTAATTTGCAGCTATTTTGTTTTATTATAAGTTCAATTTACATTGCTATGGAATGTGAAAGTTTAATGAGTAATTGCTTGCCAACGACACCCTTTAAATAGCTATGCCTCTTTTATCCTGGGCCCTCTTCACTTGCTGTTCCCATGTGTCATGCCTGTTTTGTTAGTAGTGAATGTTTGTCTTTCTTGCTATTGTAAAGCACTGCAGAATATGTTTGCAGTATATAAATAATTGTAATTTCATACAACTGTATAGAAGAATGCACTTTTGGCGGTGGACAGGGGCAATGCACTATGTGTTCTGACACCTTCAGTAATTTGAGCTACAGTAGCTCTTCTGTATGATTGGCTCAGACCTGTGCATCAATGAGTCTTGGTTGCCCATGACCCTGATGCCGGTTCACCGACTGTCCTTCCTTGCACCACTTTTGGTATGTACCAACCACTGCATACTGGGAACATCCCACAAGACTTGCCGTTTTGTAGATTCTCTGATCCAGTCGTCTAGCCATCACTATTTGGCCTTTTTAAAAGTCACTCACATCTTTTTGCATGCCCATTTTTCCTACTTTCAACAAATGACATTCTTTACTTTCTGCCTAATATATCCCACCCCTTGACAGGTGCCATTGTAACAATATAATCAGTTATCCCGCCAAAGTATTGCTATGATGTTATTGTTATAGATAGCTAGTACATCTAACATGGCCTTACTTTGTTTATAAGCTTTACATAAATATATTGGACAGTCAGACAGATAGATGGACAGACAGATCACACAATGTTTGATTATTGCTTTGATCAAGTGAAGAAAAACTAACTCAACAATGATGAGCAATAGTACACAGGAATACACATAAAAAATACACAGGAAAGTGACTTAAAGATTTGGAATAATCTCTTTATTTATGAATGAAGGTGGTTAAGAAGGTCATTCCTGGACCAACCCTTTTTGATTTGTCCTTTAAAGTTTTATTGTTAAAGTGTCAGTAGAGAGGACTATACTTTATCTAAAGAGTTCTTGAAGAATATGTGTGAACTAGATTTTAAATTAAGTCAGCTTTTTTCCTATAACACCCAAGATAAATATCTACTACAGATCCTTGGCAGATTGAATAACATGTCCTAGTACTTGCGTTTGGTGTTAGCAGCTGTGATGAATGAGTGGGAGGGTGGATTTTTATTCTTAAAGGACGAGATATTGACAGGAGTATTTCTCATGGAGAGATTCGTGTGGGAAACATCCTGCTATAATTAGATTTAACTGCTGTATGGATGAATACGACTTACCACCAATCATAAAATAACTGATAAAGTGGCAACATATTTAGCAAAGTCTCACTGTGCTAAAGTCATATTTTATAAAGTGGATTAGTTATTTGTAGAGAAAAACATTCCTGCAAGCAGAATTATGGGTACACCACAATAAAGTGTGTTAAAGGAAAATAATTCCATTGAGGAGTTCTGTAAGCCATAAAATCGAAGGTCAAATGGTTAATGAATATCGAGAACTACAAGGTGGCTTTTTATCCTAATGCACACTTCACTGTTAAGCATCTTTTATATTGAATTATGTTTTGTGTTTTTTTATATTTTTATTCAATGTTGTCTCGCAGTGAATTCTTACAGATTGGGGACCCCTCGGTGAGACAATTCTGTGAGGTCTTCCCCTTGTCCACATAAATGCATACTCGATTAGTGACACAAACATACACCACTATTTATGAACATTTGATTGGATACACATGCAAAATTAGCCACGCATTACTCACCACAAACATCAACCTAACTGGCAACAAAATCAAGATCTGGAACGCATATAAATAATTAGAATACAGGTGCACACACTGACACATTCTAATATACAGAGGCA